TATGGTAGTAATCATACAAATGGTCAACGTAGCCGGTCAGAGGTCAAAGGAGACATGGTTTACGGTAAAATAATTGTTATCTCTTAAAGATTTAAATGGATAAATCTATTAGATGTAGTTAGACACCTGGTTTTCTACTGGTTGTTCACGGACATCGGGGCGATACCGCTATAATGCGATTACAAGTACACGCTACAATAAATACTTATAGAATAAAAAAAAATGGTTTTCGATCATCAGTTTAAAATGTGAAGATAATTATGTCTTATGTAGAATTTTCTGATCACACGTGTAATAATACATAACGGACTGTGATTGACTGAAGGTTTTCATTATTTCAATGGTGACGTCAAAATTAAATTTATGACGTCATATACACTGTGACGTCACCGAAGAAAGGTAATAGAGTGTGGGAATATCGCCAAGTAATGAAAATATTTTATCCGTCCTGCATAATATAAGTTTTATTTATTATTTTTTTTTGTTTTCTGTCATGAATGCTTGCAAGAAATAAAATATTCGTTTCCATTTCATAAGAGACTGAAGAAATTCTTTGAGAATTTTAAGCAGTCCTTTCAAAAATCTTCGATCTTAAAATGCCGCTTTGATCAGAAGTAAGAAGAAGTAAAGAAGAAGAAGAAGAAGAAGAAGAAGAAAAGTTATCTAACTTCTTGATATACAAATAAGTGCGTTTCATCATGATTGTCTTTGAAGATATAACTTCGCTGTCAAGTATCGTTAGATCTACGTAATATCTCCCGTCATTCGAGTCATTAAAGCAACTTGGGCTTCTTTTTTTATAAAACAATAAAACAGACAAACGGCATCACTACGACATTGCTGAATGAAAATCATCCGAAACACATACCTTTCAAAAATATTGTTACGACACATGGGTCCCTCTGGCGACCTTTTAAAACATGTTTTACAGACAAAAGTGGGTAAAAGAGACGCTGTATTGTGCAGATGGGAACGTAGAGCCCTAAGGATAGACACGTGCCCCAAAAGGGAGAAATACAGGTTTAATGTGGTTATAATTTAAATTATTCTCCTTGCTAGAATGCTTCCGCCCCAACCTCCGAGGACAAGGGATTGAAGATCTTGAGGAGAAATATAAGACGTAGTAATGAGTGTCAAACGTGTTTATGTAACCCTGGTAAAATACTAACCGCAATATACCACTCGGCTAGAGAGAACTTCTCTATAGCTCGATTGGTTGAGCCAGGGGTCCTGGGTTCGATTCCTAGTGGAGGCATTGAGATGAAAAATGACCTCTGTTACATTTAGATTCCTTATTTCTTATGATCAAAGAATTGGATTTCCCAACCATTTTTTATTTATATCAACATCCCTTATTTTAGATTGGGTGAAACTTTTTCATAAAAATGTAGGTGCATCTGTAAATCAAGGGGGGATCTTTCTTCGTTTCTAAATATCAAAAGAGGTTGTCGACAAGGGGATCCAATAGCACCATATATTTTTATTCCATGTGCAGAAGTTCTTGCAATTAGATTAAGATATAACAAAATTATAAAAGGAGTAGAGGTTGATGGTGAAATGATTTTACTATCCCAATATGCAGATGACACTTACTTGATATTTGATAGTACTGAACAGTCTTTAGAGAATCAATAAATGAGCACCATACTTTTGAAAATATCTCAGGCTTAAAGATGAATATTGATAAAACAGAAATCATATGGATTGGGAGTAAAAAGTATAGCCAAGACAAATTCCTACCAGATATAAATTTACAATGTGGAAAAGAACAATTTTGTTTATTAGGGATTGAGTTTAGTGTAAATCTCCATGGAATGGTAAAGCTTAATTTTGATAAAAAAAAATAGTTAAACTAAAAAGTCTTATTAATACATGGAGCAGAAGAAAATTAACACCTATTGGGTTCATTTGATAAAATTATTAATGATCTCACAGTTTAACCACTTATTTATATCACTACCAAATCCAAACAGTAAAACATTGAAGACAATACAACTTTGTATGAATTTTTGTGGAACAGTAAGATTGATAAAGTGAAAAGAGAGATTACAACCCAAGATTATGATTTTGGTGGCATTAAAATGCTCAATATCAGCAATTTGATTGATTCTCTAAAATTAGGTTGGGTGAGAAGACTATATCTGTCTAGTAGTAAGTGGAAAACACTTTTGAAGAAATCGTTAAATGTAAAAAGACTAATGTGTTTTGGTGGCAGTTATATAAAAGTAAGCCAGGAAAATTGTACAAATATCTTTTGGAAAGATATCTTTCAGGCATGGTCCAGACTAGAGAGCTGTGAAAATATGAAAAAAAAATTAAAGGGGAAGTTACTTTTGTTAGTACCGGTTTGGCACAATAATGATATAACTATTGGTGGTAAAGCAGTTTTTTTTTATCCACACTGGCATAAAAAGGGCATTTATGTTATTGGTGACTTTGTCAAAGATTCAAGTACAAAAGGTCTATTTACTTATAATGAATTAATTCATAAATATAATACCAATGTTAACATTTTGCAGTATAATGGTTAGTTTCAGCAATTAGAAGATGTTTATCAAACCATGAGTTACGTGACCATCAACTAGCCAGACCTGTTTTACCAGTGAATATTTCTTTATTTATAAAAGAAATTGAAAGGTCAAAACAATTTTATGACTTGTAAAACAGTAAAACCACTCTTGAAGCAAAGGGCAAAGAAAAGTGGGATGGTCCGTTTGATATAAGTAAAGATGAGTGGTTCTGTATTTATTCACTTCCTTATCTAGTCACTAAAAGCTCAAAACTACAGTGGTTGCAATTTAGAATCTTGCACAATATATTAACTACAACCTCTTTCTTGTTTAAAGCAAGATTAGTAGATAATCCTTTTTGTTCCTTCTGTAATTCTGATAGAGAAACTATTGTGCATTTGTTTTGGGAATGTGATGAAGTTCAAAACTTATTTCAAAATCTAGACAGGGTTTTGGAGGCTTTATTTATACCCTTTACAGTAAATAAGCAAACAATACTTTTTGGCAAGATAAATAATAACAATAATGCTTTATACAAAGCAGACAATCAAGTCATTTTGGTGATAAAACAATATATACACAGAACTAGGTATCTGCACAAGTCCCTGAATATAAGTGCACTTCTTTATTCTATATTTGACCACTATAAGGTCCAGAAATGTATCATTGATAGTAAGGAACAGACTGCTAAAGAAAGTTTTTTAATGGTTGGAAAAAATGGGGAAAATTAATTAAAATTTTAGAATGATTTTTTTTTTACGCATGTAGGAATTTCAGAAATCGCCAGTCTCTGACAAAGTTCCATGTATAGTTTTTTGGTCTCTTATTATCACACATTATATAACACACTATATACAACTTAACAGTAACTACCATCCTTTCCCTTCCTCAAATTTTTAAACTATCCTCTTAAATCCTTTTCTATCTGTCTGTCTGTCTGTCTGTCTGTCTGTCTGCCTTGTCTGTCTTGTCTGTTGTTCCTTATTTATTTCCTTTTTAGTGTATCAGTACAGTGAGATATATTTGAGTGAGGTGTAAGCGTGTACAAGTGAGATGTAGGAGTTATGAATGAGGTGTAAAGGTGTATGAGTGAAATGTAAGGGTGTATGAGTGAGCATAAAAGGAAAATTTTATTATATGTGTACAACATATACCGAAAGCTCCTGTGGATGTGTCATGTTGTGAAAGTAAATGATGTTTAAGTGTTAAAATAATAAAAAAAAATAATGATGATGATGATGATGATGATGATGATGATGATGATGATGATGATGATGATGATGATGATGATGATGATGATGATGATGATTGCAGTTATAAAAAAGACATGTTCATGATGATGAGGATGATAATAATGAAGATGATGATGATTGCATTATAATGATGATGATGATGATGATGATGTCATCATCCTCATGACTTAAGTGTGTGTGTGTGTTTGTGTGTGTGGGTCTCCGGTGTTATGTACATGTACCGAAAAATCTTGGAAAAATAAAAAATTACAAAAAAAAAAAAAAAAAAATCCTTTGGGCGGATGGGGACTCCGTGTTGCCTAAACTGACCCCTGGGGATAGATGAGTGGTTGCGACTAGAGTTGTTATGGGGACAATTTTTATCTAAATCATCCTAATATAAGAAAAATAGATTTACAACATTTTTGTGTGTAAACGAAGAATGTGTTCGGATTTCCAGCTTCTACAGAGAGTAAGGGACCATTAAAGGGATATACGCGAAAACGGATACATAATATGTTGTGATAAGGGAGTGAAAAATAATCTTTAATGCTTGGAAACACATCTGCATCTAGCTTAGGGAGGAGTTTTACAGCCGACAGGGAGACTGGACAGGACAGTGGAGTCCAGAACGGAGTAACAATGCCGATTTGGATCTAAGTCCGTGATAATCATCTATTGATGATAATTCTCTACCTCACTTTTTTACGAGAAGTGCATACTATATGACCTCTCATTTGTTTAAAATAACAAAGTTATTAACAATCAGGAAATACCCGACTGGTCAATTGGACACTGGTCATCTCGGACAGCACTTCATAGTCTTATCTTCATTATTATGTATAATTTGAACTTATTTTTTCTCGTTCAGAATAGTTATGTTAAATTGAGATATACAATGTCTCCTTAGTTTTGGCTATGCTCAGTACTATTATTTGACCATTGAACGTCGGTCAAATTATATTTATTGTCACTAAGAACGCAATTTTGGAAACAGATAAATGGAATGAAATCAGTTAGGATAAATTAGATAAATGCAATGAAGTCCGTTAAAATGTTATGATTATTTATCAGGGACCCAGATTGCATTCATATAGACAATAAATACAATCTGACCGACGTCCAACGTTATATTTACATTTCGGCATTACTTAATACACTATCGTGTTTTTTTTTTTAATTTAAAATTGTTTTCATAGCTTTATCGTACATACTGGAAATTAAAAAAATTCACGTATTTCGATCAAAGCGATTCAGAATGACGGAAAGACTAGAGCGGTTGTCTGATGACGGTGAAAAAAGACTCTTTCGAACATTTTTGGGTATCCCGACAAATATAACTAATGTATTGGAATGTCGTGTTTGAAATGATTAATATTCATTTTGTAAACTAAAAAGTGACTATACAAAGTAAAGTTACTCTGCTGCATGTAAAGCTGTGTTTATAAAACTGAACGTACTCACGGCGGATTTACATGAATCTGTTTTAATTAAAGACGACTGAAGCAATATGTTTCTCTTTGTAGATGGCTTTTCAAAAAATATATCAGAAATCGAATAATACCATTCAAAACCATGCAGACAAAATGACTACTTATCTGAATATATAGATAAAACAAACTTACAGGAAAAAGAAAGTAAACACACACACTCACATAAACAAAGCCACTACTACAGAAGATGTATACGGTTTTTGGTTTAGAATAAAATGCGATACTTTTATTTTCTTGAAGTGATAACGAACTATTCCTGATTTTGTTGGTGAATTTCACAGGTGTGACGCAGTTGTCTCCCTTCACCCGTTGTATGATGAGAAACAACGGCATGCTATCATATTAGATATTGGGACGTTTTCTACATAATTTTGTTGGTTGTCTTGACGTAATACGTACAGGACATAGACATATTCAAACATGAATTCAAGTTAGCTGTTCAAAAACACATCGAATATCACATTACCATAAAATATTTCCGCATCATATGTCATATTAAATTACGGGCTTTTAGTACAGCAGCGGTGTTCAAAGGACAGGGGCGACAACTCAGAGAAAGGCACAAAAACTAACAAGGTAGTAAATAGAGTGCTAAATAGAGTGCATAAGGAATTATCCTGCTACTTGTCACCAATACTCACTTACAAGGTACTTACTTTATCTATGTTGATTTTATACAAGTGTTTATTTAGTACAAAACACTAGACGTAAACGTATGCTATAATGTATGTGTACTACGACATGAATTACAAACTACTTTCATTTTGTCGGATATGGCAGTTAGGGGATATGATAGAGTTTGATATAACCCAACAATACACGACATAGCATCATATTAAGGAGTTTGTTATTATTACAATTGCATGACTTTTATTATTAACAGAGAGAGGTATTCCTGGTGAGATGTATCAGGAATTAGTTCTGGAATTCAATTTGTCAGACAAGACGATTGGTTTATACGAATTCCATGTGTGATGTTTTCTCGGAATTACATAATAGTTCTGGAATTTAATAGATCAGACAACCAGACAATTGGTTTATACGAATTCCAGTTGTGATGTTTTCTCGGAATTACATAATAGTTCTGGAATTTAATAGATCAGACAACCAGACAATTGGTTTATACGAATTCCGGGTGTGATGTTTTCTCGGAATTACATAATAGTTCTGGAATTGAATAGATCAGACAACCAGACAATTGGTTTATACGAATTCCAGGTTTGATTTTTTCTCAGAATTGAATTGGGTAAACAAGAAAATGCTTAGTTTAAACAAATTCCAGGTTTGATAATTTTCTTGAAATGGCAGAGTAGGTTTTTCATTTGATTTGGCTAGACAATAAGACACTTAGTTTATACAAATTCCAGGTGTGACATTTTCATGGAATGACGGAATAGATTAGGAGAGATACTACGAATTAATGGTCAGTTTATACCTATAACTGGCTTTATACAGTAACTAGCACCAAGACTTGGTTATTATTTCTAGGTATGATGAAGGGTTCTGTTCAAAGACATCTGGGCACATCCAGCATATTGCTGCAGTTGATCTTGTTGATGTATATGACAGAATATGCTAGAACAGAATGTCCGCAGAGCAGTATGACAGGTAAGCATTGAAGTAACTCTTACACCTTCACTGATATACACTGTCACAGGTAACTATAACACAATCGCAGGTAACTATAACATTATCACAGGTAACTGTAATACTATCACAGGTAACTATAATACTACCACAGGTAACTATAACAACATCACAGGTAACTATAACACAATCACTGGTAACTATAACAACATCACAGGTAACAATACCACTATCACAGGTAACTGTAACAGACAGACATTCTTTATTTCCGTCTTGCAAAGAAAACATTTTTCTTATAACATGTATCTTAATTCATATGTAAACATGATTTTGTATTTAATATTACATAGTTGTATCTTAAAAAATGTATAATATCACAGGTAAATATTACTTTACAGGTAAGTCTTACATCATAACAGGTAACAATAACAACATCACAGGTAACCCTGACATTACTAAGGTTGAGGTTGGCAGATGGAATGTGAATTATGTAATGTAAATGAAGTTGGTGATGAATACCACTACTTATTAGGGTGTCATCACTTTTCTGATATAGACACCAGTTCATTGATAGTGTCTACTATAATGCTCCAAATAGGTATAAGTTTGTAAGATTGATAACGACAAAGGATAATGATGTATGTATAAAATTAGGTAAATTTAAATCTCACATATTGAAGTTTTGGGCAAATGTCTAAAAAGTAGCATTTTTTCTATGCCACTCTGTGTATAGTTTGTAAATTTGATAATAGCAAAACATAAAAATGCTGCTTAAATTACATACATTTGTATATCTTTATTTATTTGGTAAAATGAAGTTTTGGATAAACACCTAAACTACAAAACATTAAAATGTTTAACATCTCATTCTTATTGTACAACTATTTATTGTATACTGTGCTAACTCTGACTACACCATGTTTTCATATGGACATCCTCATATGTCATGCATGTATGATCTGAGGTTCAATAAAAGAATTTGAAATTTGAACTTGACTTATGTATGTGTAGTTGAACCTATTGATGTTACCGATGGATTTAGGAATTTTGTAATTTATTATTGAGTTTATTTTTGCTTCTCTCGTTGCTGACAGGCCCCCTGAAGTACAGTAAGGACATGAACAATGCTACCTTTGCCTACATTGGCGAACAGATATCTCTTGACTGTTGTATCACTGGCTTTGTTTCTTTGGCCTGGTCCTTTCGTGCCACAGAAAACGATACTTGGGATAATATTGGTGGGACAAGTATCTACAGACTCAAGGAGAATACTAGAAATCAGACTTTGCTGATTGTGCCACCTGATCAGGACGATGGCTATCCCCTACCAGGTTACTATAGGTGTATCGCTACAAACGCCCAGAATGACATCATCGTACGCCAAATAGACCTTGCTTTTGCAGGTTAGTCTCTACAAATGTTGTGGCAGTAGTTACACCTTGTTTATCCAGCAAGAAAGCCATGGCGATGATGCCACTCATATTTATTATGTAGACAAAAAGCAAACAAATGCTTAACCATTGTCATGTGTTTTGTATATATACTTGAAATCAAAATAGATTTTCTCATTTAATTAGATATATCTGCAGTCTTGCCCTGACTTTACTGATCAAAGTTCAAGCATTCAGTGCTCTGTTTGTCTGACGATATCATATTCATCAATCAAGTTTATGTTTACTTGTTTATTGTAGCCTTCGCTTCGTTGTTTTAAAAAAAATGTTTCATATATATGAACTTTTCTCTTTAGCTTCCAGTGGAAGAGTGCATCCCCAAGCATTTGGTCCCTCGTCAAACACCTGTGCTAAACTAGGCAAGACAATTGCTGTTAATTGTTCAGCAGATTTTGGACAGTTGGGTTCGTCTGAGTGGAATGTCCAGTGGTACAAAGACGACGAAGGAAATCTATCGTTAGTGAGGAATGATGCTTATTATCCTGTATATGAAATTACCATCAACAACGGGTAATTGTATAATATGTGTGAATTTGTCTACATGCTCCTTATATATCCATGCACCAAGTTCATAATTAAATTCATAGAAAGGTTTTAAGTTTGATACACTCAGACTTAGGTACATTTATTGTTTTACCTAGATTTTTGTAGAAAATTTTTAAACAAACGTTATGATTTGCTAATAGCTGTGTGAAACTTTATGTAATGTGGCCAAGAATACAACCAAATTTTTAAGTAAATAGAACTTAAACAAAGAGTTCAACATGAAATTTGGAGAATATTACCTATTGTGGAAAAAAGGATTTTTCTTTCCTATTTTGAGAAATGGCAAAATCTCAGATAGCCCTTTTGGTCAGAATTCAAAAGAGGAATAGGGTAAAAATTTATTACACATTTGATACTTGAACAGAAAATAAAAATGTTTTGAGGTTGAATTGATATTTATTTTTCATGATAGCAAAATTTAAAAGTGTGTTAAGGAAATTATACCAATTAACTCTGTTTTGGGAAAAGTTTTCCCTTTTTTGGGGGAAATTGGTGTTAAACAAAGCACAGCCAAATCACCTACAGTTCATTGATATGATCTTGTGTACTTTTAAATTTTTTCATAATCTGATTACCGTCTGATCACACTATTTTCAACCTTAATATACGTAGAATTATAGTACAGCCGAAAAGTTGGTAGATTCCTTACCATCTTGAACACTACGTATGTCAGTGTTAGTATGCTCCACACTGGTCATTTGTCTGATGAAGGTGACCATGTAGGAATTGAAACGTCTCTCTCCAATCTTTTCTAGTTGTGTTAGAGACTTTTATTCTATTGATATTACCAACCAGAAGAAATCACCACAGGGGTTAGCTAAAGCAATACATTACCTCAAACTAGAAATTAAAGAACAGACTTATTAGCAGACACAGGCTTATTGATGTAATAAGCTAATGACTAGTAATTAATTAACACTTATTTACTGCTGTTTTGTAGAAAAAAGTAACAGCTGTTGTTCAGTTGCCTAGAAACTTGCTGAACTCCCAATTATCTGACTATGATGATGGCTAAAGATTTCTAAACCTGATTAGCTTACTCAAAGAAGAGTTACCATGGAATATTTGTTCCAACATAATAAATAAAAAAAAATTTTTTCTCTATCTAATAAGCTTTTTTCTTAAATTCATGACCTACATATTTGGGAGTTTATTTTTTTGACAAGTTTTACAGCTGACCACAAATTACTGTTTAATCTTGGAATTTTGATAGATGTTTCCTCCCCTTACAAATACGGGGGGGCACATTTCAAACAGCTTGACATGTTATAACAATGTGTAAAATGTTCCGAGTGGCAACATTCAGATTTAACAATCACACTTGTAACTTATGGATGAAAAAGAAAAGATAGATTTAGCTCCAAACTCACAGTTAGAAGTTTTCAGACAAATTTCAAACAAAAAACAAAAGAAATGTCCATTTTCAATCACTCTGAATATCATTAAATTTTTCAAAAGATATTTGCACAGATACTGAAAACAAGTGATATTTGACTAAGTAGTGTTATTCACAGGAACAACTTTTCCCTTCAAACTGTGTATGCAAAATATTCCACTAGTTGGCTTTATCAATTTCTTTTCATTTCGGGTTTAATCAATTCAAAACATTTACAGTTATCATATTATATAATGCATACTGCAATAGAGTTCCCTCCCCTGACTTGTGTTAGAGTTGGTTTTATTTTTCTCATTCAGAACAATGAGTTTTGACAAGATGCATCAGAGTTGTTAATTTAATGCTTCTCTTAAATACTTTGTCTGCCCATCTACCCATTCATATGTCCGTCTTTCCATCCTTCTTTCTATCTGTCTTTTTTGTCCAAAGTTTTTTCCAAAGTTAAGCAAAGATTATGAAACTATGTGTATACATCAGTTAGGCTAAGGTAGTATGCAGTGTAGCAGATTCAAGTCCCACAACTCCTTATTTGTAAGTTGTTGCCCGTTAATAAAATTTATTGTCCAGAGCATAGGTAAATTTGGTTAGTACTTAATACTAAGATAATGAAACTTGGTGATATATTGAAATTTCATGTGAGGAGCATAGCTTGCTTACATTTAAACTAGAATAAGATTTACTGACAGAAAAGCCTTGACTAAACTTGTTTTTTGGGAGCCTTCATCAGTGCCTCTTGATAATTGTTTTTTCTTTTTAATGAAAATTGTAGATCTGAAACTGCAAATGATATCTTTCATGTCTTGAAAACCTTTCAAAACCAGCAGTATAGTTTTTATTAATGAATATTTGCAAACTGAAAGCCTTAAAGAAAACTTTTAAAACCTGTTTAGAATGAAGAGTCGAGATAAAGCTGTGTATATCGTTAGATATTTTTATTTGTACATTTACCTTGTTGCATTTTGCAGAACAAATGGATTTATCATTCATCAGCTGATCATATCCAATGTCACTGAATCTGACATTACTAAAACCTTCAGATGTTATGTGAGCAGCATTCGAGAGTCTAGCAACAAAAACTTCATGTTTGTTGTTAAACTATGCTGTAAGTATGTCTATAGTGACTATTCTTGGATTATCACAAAGTATTAAGTCCTAGAAATTTAGCTGGTTAAGTATTAATGGATAGAAATGATAGAATACCTGTGCACTTTCTAACCTGTACAGCACTCAACTCTCAAGAGGAGATAGTCCTTACATACATGTTTAGTTAATACTGTAAAATTATCAGTTTTTGTGGTGATTTTATTTTCATTGATTTCATGGGCACACTTAATCCACATAATTCATATGTCCACGAACTGTCATAATAAGTATGGATATTTTTATAGAGCTTTCTAAAAGTGGGTGTAAAATTATAAATTCATATGTCTATGAACTGTCATAATTCGTATAAATACATAAATTGGGCTTTCAAATAGTGGATGTAAAATTATAAATTCAAATGTCTATGAACTGCCATAATTCGTATAAATACATAAATTGGGCTTTCAAATAGTGGATGTAAAATTATAAATTCATATGTCTATGAACTGTCATAATTCGTATAAATACATTTATAGAGTTATACTTACCCATGAAATCAAAAGTTCACAAAAAAGGGATTTTTTTTAAGAGCAATGAAAATTGAACCCTATGAAAAATCTGATTTTGCAGTATTTAAATGATTGAAACAGAAACTATTTGACCTCCAGCAAGCATTCATACCGGATTTGGCTCTCTTAAAGATTATAATTGAAGGGAAATGTTCAAATTTTGTATGAATAAGTTCAAAAACAGAGGAGAGAAAAGAAAAGAAGGAAAAAGATTCACTTTGTACAGAACAAATTAAGAACAAACAGTGGTGGGTGCCAAGATCCCTTTAGGGTCTCTTGTTTTTTTTTTTTTTTTTGTTGTTTGGGAGGATGGGGTTTTGCCGATTGTCTCAAAATAGGGGGCACTTGTAATTCAATTCTGTCTGCATACACATAAAAATCACTTGGCTATGCACCTGAGTTTCTGGTGGACAGTGTCTGTTTTAGACATGTCCTCCTTGTAGAGGCGGCCTTTTTGTAGAGGTGATCTCTTTCTGTAGGTGTTATCTTTGTACAGGTAATTTCTTCCTATAAGAAATGTTTAAGAGAGATGATTTGATGTCTGTAAATATGTAGTGAGAGGCTTTCAGTCAAGGGAAGAATTATAGAATATTTTGTAGTTTACATTATTTTCCGAAAAGTTCTTCACTAAGCGAGGTATGACCTTAATACTGTATATTAATATGTACTTATTTTGATAATCTCATGTGATTACAACTGCATGTCACAAATTCAACATTTTGTGTGAAACACACTTGTCTAAAAATTCTTTGTTCCATTATCAAAATGACTTTTTATGTACGCAGTGAGAATTTATGTTTTAAAGTGTGTGGTGCGGCAACTAATGTGTTATTACGATATTGATTTTGTTCCCATTATTACACTGTATTAAATAATGTAGCATGAATAATTGTCTTGATATTTCTTGGTGGTTATCAGAAAGTAATACAAATATAATAAAAATATTTCTTCTCTTAGCCAAGGTTGTTCAAGGGATGCCAGTAAAGAAAGAAACGGTCATTGGTGTCACAGCAGGATTGGTTGTGGTCTTTATACTGATAATTGCAGTAGTTATAGTTGTGGTGTGGCTGTATAAACCCCAGATACATTATAAACTGATGAAGTTTTATGAAAGGAATAGAAACAAGAGGCAAGTGCCTGAAAATGGTAGGTAACATTTAGAATTCAGTGGCCATATTTCCCCTTTTATGAAAGATTTCCAAAATTCAGCTAAAAGTAAGAAAACAGTATTGCTTCACAATGACAGTAGTTTGGTTTTAGCACTCACTCATCTGGTAGCTAGCTATTTAAACCATTCTGTAGCTATTGTCCCTTGTCCGTCCTTAAACAGGCGGCCATATTAGAATTTTTGTATAAATGGAGGGTTTCAGCTCTCTTGGGCAGGAGGAGTGGGACCCAAATGAGGAAACAGAGCAAATTCTGCTCATCTGCTAGATTGCCTGGATTCTTTCCCAATTTAGTTTGGATCATCCTTGAGTGAAGGGAAATCAATTTTGTTGGCCCCATAAGGCAAGAATAGTGGCATGCAATAGGGGAGATAGGACAAACTGTTTGAAATACAACTTCTTCTCCTGTAGAATTATTTATGATCTGTCAAAATTTAGAATGCAGCATCCTTAGGGGAAGAGAAATAATTTTTTTTTTATAAATGTTGGGTCTCAGCCCCCTGGGAGGGCAGGACCAAAATTGGAAATAGAACAAATTCTTTTAAATCCATCTTCTACTCTAGGAATGCCTGAACTGTGTCCAAATTTGTAATAAAATGTATTAGTAGTGGATCTCAACCCTCTTCTTCTTTGGGAATGTCTAGATTGTCCTGATTCATGAATCATCCCTGGGTGAAGGGTAATCAATTTTGAATAAACAGTTGGTCTAGACTCTGGACCAATCAGGGTGAGAGAGGAGGGGAAATAGGTAATCTTTGAACTTCTTTTCATTTAGTTTAGATGAAGCAAATTTAACAAACTAACCAAGTTAGCGATATAGGTGCTTCATGGATGTAAAGCTTAGGATAATTTACCCTATCCCTAGGGGAGAATGTGAGACCCAAAGATTCTCCCATCCTTGAAGAGTAGAGTATCTAAAAAACATGAATTTTTGGGATTTTTTGGTAATTATTCATATAAAATTTTCCTATAAACTTCTACTGTTATTCATGTTTTAGTTAAAATATTTCATAACATTTTCATGTTTCATTTCAGAATTGTTATTCCGACCTTTTTTATTTGAATAAATTCTATTTGAGAATTAAAAGTCTAAAGCAAACTTTTGACAAAAGAAAAAGTAGATTATTTCTTGTTTCCTTGTCTTTTGTAGAAAATCTGACTGATGTGTTTATACACCACAGCAATGACGGTAAGGATATACGCTTGGCATCAAGTTTGGAAATGGATTTAATGAATGAAAAATATAGCTTAAAACGATTAGAGGCAGGGGCACCTGAAGGCAATCACATTACAGGTAGGAGGATAAAAAAGTGTATAAAGATGTAATGTGTTACATTGTAAGATGTCCTGTAATATCACCAAGTTAAAATAATTTCATTATATAAAGATTGTCATAAAGTTATATTGTAAAAATAATATCCCAGTATGAAATAATGTCAGAATGCAAACATAATGTCACAGTTTAAAGATAAGGTTAAATTGTGAAGATAATATAGTATAAGATAATGTCAGAATGCAAAATTTCATGCCATATTGATTCAGTATAAAAAGTCAATTGTCTAATGGTAATTATGTTCTGTAGATCTTTTGTTTGTATGACAATTATAGTGACACTATTTTAACATTTCAGAGTCTGGTATCCTTCAAGACCTTATTCTGACATCTGCAGCTCTAGTTGTTGTTGCACCCTCGGATAACTCAGATGAAGAATTCACGACCAAGCTCCAAAATGTTCTTGGACAGATAAATTCTAACGATACTGTGACTGTAATTTGTCACGAAGATGAAAGAAATGAGAATTCTGATCTGAAACGTTACGAACAATTGACATATGAACCCCAAGGTTCAAACAGAAGGAAGCGTAGGAACTTCCTTTGTGCAATTAAGCTGCGGATTGATAATGCAAGAAAATTACAGCAAAGAACAGCTCGAACAGGCGCCTTGCTTGGTATGGAAGAGATTGTATAACTTTGATATTTGCAAACTGTGTGCAGAGCAGAATTGATTTGGTCAACAGTAGAGATTATTTGAAGTATCTGCTAACAACCTACTCACAGTATGATACTAATACCTAACATCCCTCCTCCCCCCTTTTGCACATATCATCTCTTGTTGGATACAAAAATGGCTGCTTTGTGTTTTTTTATTTAATATTTCATGGTTTCTGTCGTTGCTATAATCAGACTTTTAACCTCATTGTCAAATGTCTAGTCTAACACAATTGTTGAAAGTGTTGAGTTCTGTCCCCTGGCCGAGACCAAACAAAGTCTATAAATAGGTTCGTCTTGCACTCTGCTTGGATATAATATATACCTTACTCATTATATAACATTATCTCTACCACTTGTAAGCATATTAATACGATCCTAAATATGATAATGAAAAGTCAGAGTGATGAACAGATACCTGTATATGGAGACTGAATTGATTTACGAAAAAAACGACATTTTTTTATGATAACTTATTTCAAATCAGATGAAAGATTTTGATATGAGTGTATGTTTTAAAAATATCAAAATCCGATTTGGGATATAACACTGAATTAAAATAATGTTTAAACATAATATGCTTGAAAACACCTTATCACCTTTGATTTTGAAGGCTGTAATGGATAAGTAATATATGAATAGAGGCCGGTGACATTCCACATATACACAGTCCTGTGGATGGAGAATTTAAAAGGTGTTCCGTGTTAAGAGTGTCCTTTGTAGCATGTTAAAGATCCCCAAGTGGTTTTATGCTGAAGAGTTGGATTGATAATGTTATTCCAGAGATATTTATTCAAATTAACAGAGATTTTAATAGTAAATTAGATGGACTTCTAAAATTAATATTGTTTAGACTGAACCTAACCCTACTTTCTCAAGCTAGTTTGGTGACAGATATGGTACACAGCAACATCTCTACCATTGGTAGGTTAAGGCACCATTGGAGTCAGAAACCGTCATCTAAAACCATGTTATCCAGAAAAGTTGGTTTCACAAAATGAGGGAAATGCAGGTTGCCTGTTCCTGTCCCCAGAACGCTTACCTTTCTGAGTGACAAAATACTAGATGATAGTTGTCTCAGAGATGTAAAACCAAACATCAGTGTATCTGATCTATATTCAACATGAAATTAGTTGGCAGCATAATGACCAATTAACCTGTTGTCAGTAAAATGTGATTAGATGGGGTGTCATACTTCTTTGTCCAGGGTATAATAATTCATTTTGATAACACTATATAACCATCCTTGATTTGTCCTACCTACCACACATGGACTGTTTTCATATGGTCTTTAATTTTGGATTTGCTCACTTTCATGATAAGGTCATCTGATGTAAAGGCTGTAGAGCCATAATGTTTCATCTGGCATGTGTCATGCGTAAACTTCCCATTCAAATGACTTCTTCTCAATGACCAAAACTCTCAAACTTTTAATATCAAGCCTGTAGCATGATAGGATAAAAAGCTATCATGCTTGTTAAAATATATGACCTTGACCAAATGTGTCAAAAATGACTTCTTCTCTCAATAAGTAAAAGGTCAAGGGTGCTGATATTTGGTTTGCAGCATCTTAAGATGAAGGGATACCAAGTTTCTTAATATTAATAACATTGCCTTTCAAGGTCACAGAGGTCAAATGTGATGAAATCATCTCAATAAGCAAAAGGCACAGAGTGCCGTTATATGGTCTTTAGCATGCTGGTATAAACGGCTACCATATTTGTTAATTTGAATAACCTGTACTTACTTTCAAGGTAACATGTTTTAAGCATCTAAAAAATTTAATGGCTTCTTCTCAATAACCAAAAGGCCCATGGTGCTGATACTGGGCCTGTAGCATGCAAAGATGAAGGACTACAAAGTTTGTTAAAATGAATGACCTTGACTGCCTTTCAAGATTACAGAGGTCAATTATGTTGTAATATTAAAACAACTTCCACTCAGTAGCTAAAAAGGCAATGGTGCTGATAATTGGTCTGTAGCATGATGGATTGAATGTTGGAATAAATGACCTTGACCCAGTTTTAAGGTCACAGAAGGTCAAATAAGCTGAGATATCAAAATTTCTTTGTCAACAAGTTTGCAGGAAATGCTTTTATAGACCAACAAAGTTTTCTTTTTAAGCCATTGAGAAGTTGAGCAATTTAGGCCTAATTGGTGTCTTTAATTTATAGGTTTACATAGTCAGATGACTGTTCTTGCCCTTATGTCTCTTGTTCAGTTTATGTTAACTGGTTTCTGATACAAAATTCCTGCAGGTGATTGATATAAATATTGGCTTAGTCAATCCTAATAACTAGTTTTTTTTATAAATTTTATGATCAGGGTGCTTATCTTATGTAAATTTCAAGGACCATTTAAAGGCCTGTATCAATATTTGAAAGTACATCCTTATTCATGTCAGAAATGCTATATTTTTAAATGTTGAAAAATAGGTTTGTTCATATAAACATGATTAAGTGAAAGTGACCTTTGCCTATAAGTGAATATTAAACACACCAACGAAATTAATTGTATACCATATTTTATAATATCATATACATGTACATACATATTCATTGTCGTATTTGAATATTCATAATTGTATCAGAATGTACATAGATAACCAAGAGAGTTTATAAATATTTATAGCTATGCAGATTAATGATGCATATGACTATTTATTGTTGTGTAACAGAATGTATACAAACATTCATGTAATAATGCTGTCCACTTTATATCTCACTACTTACTAATATGAATAACCAAAGATGGTAAATTGACTTCCTTAAATCTGAAAATGTATTTACTAAAATTAATCTATTTACCTTTGCGTATAATATATACATATTTGTAAGAATATACTTACCTACTAGAATGACCAATTGTTAAATTCTTTGTCATGATTTTTAATTGAGACTCTGCAGCAGCAATAACACTGCTTTTATTTGGGAGTAGGCATCAACAGTATATATTATACAGAGACCAAATTGTCGTCATAATTTTCTTTCTCCCGAAGACATCATTTCAAGGGTACATAATTTATGGGTACAACTGAAATGTGTCTGTGATCATTTTGTGTTATTGAAATCTTATTTCTGAGATTTTATTTTCATGATACAATAGCCATGAAAACACCAGAGACTTCTGTACATAAGATATTTCCTGTTATACAGTAGACGTCCATCAAGAGAGGTTTATCAAGTTTCAAAGGTCACTTTTTTCTATAGAGTGTGATACATCAAAGAGATGTATTTTATTTTTGCTAAAAACTGTCTCACTTTGTCATATTGTTCAGTTTCAAAAATAGGCAAAAAGGTTATGGGTTTCCTCCCCTGAACACAGCAGGTTTAAGTCTATAAAACTTGTATTGGCCTTTGGGTTCTCTCCCCTGAACACAGCATGTTTAAGTCTATAAAACTGGTATTGGCCTTTGGGTTCTCTTTCTGGTACACGATGTGTTAAAGTCATTAAAATTAGAAATGAATATCAAAGTGATGCCATGTAAAGATTTTAAAGATTTTGTTGTTGGTATGGGAGTACTTTATATTAATGCCTAGCATTAAACAAGACTTGTACTTTCGTTTCAAGACCGTATTCAGAACTTTACATTCCCGAGTCATTTGATATTGTAAATTGTACTATGTATTGGAATCACTATGGGTATTAATGTATATCTTGTTCGTTTAACCAGCAGTAATTTTTTTAATTTTGCTCATCCGTTATTGGTGCTTCTTTCTGTATCTTTGCTCATTGGACAATGTCGCAGGGAGATGGTTGTAAATCCATTATTTAAGCTTATTAAATGGTTTCAGTATTATGATTAAAGCTCACTAACCATCAACAATGCCTGTATCCATGTTTGTGTTCTGTATATTTGCTTATTATGGTTAAAGCTCACTAACCATCAACAATGCCTGTATCCATGTTTGTGTTCTGTATATTTGCTTATTATGGTTAAAGCTCACTAACCATCAACAAGGCCTGTATCCATGTTTGTGTTCTGTATATTTGCTTATTATGGTTAAAGCTCACTAACCATCAACAATGCCTGTATCCATGTTTGTGTTCTGTATATTTGCTTATTATGGTTAAAGCTCACTAACCATCAACAATGCCTGTATCCATGTTTGTGTTCTGTATATTTGCTAATTATGTTTTAGCTCACTTACTATCAACAATGCCTGTATCCATGTTTGTGTTCTACCTTTTCATATTTTTATTACAGCTTCCTGCTGACATAGTTTAAACAGCAACATTTTTGTCCTGCTGTCCGTCCGTCTGCCAATAGGTCAATTTAAAGATGGCTGGTTGTGGGACTGGTAGGAAAACGAAATGTTGTATCTTGATAGTTAAAGATTTGGTCACCTTCTCTTGAAATGTGCTTGATGAATCATGCTCATATATTGATATTAATATATATATGATTAATTCTGAATTTTGATGATTAAATTGTGAAACTATATTATTTCATCAGAATGACAGTATTTCTCAGAAAGGATTTCTTTCTCAGTAATCTACTTACTGAACTTATACTTTGAATTCATGCACTCTCTCCATTTGGGATTGATGCTATGACAATGAGTGATGTAAGAATTTATAATTGTTTCTATCTTAACCATTTGATTATTTTTTATATGCTAATTGAAATTTATACTAATATGTAATTGTTATCATGGTTCTCTTGATTAATTTTGTACATTGTTATATATTGTCAGATGTGATATGGCATCAATCTTAGAATTATATTGGGCAATTAAATGACTACGTTTTATTTTTTTATCATTTTAACAATATTTTAGTGTCAACCTTAACACTACAACTTATCTTGTTTGTTTTTTTTAACATTTTTTTAACGATTTGACAGATTTTATACAAATATGTAAGTTTGTATTTGCATTAATCGTGAATTGAATTGGGATAATCTGCCTTGTGGAAGGCATCTAACAGAACGAACATTAAAGTGCTTAATGAATGTTTTAAATCTGAACTTAAGTTTTC